GCCTGTAGAATCCATAATTTCAAACAGTTCCAAGATTGGGCTACTAGTTCAAAAGCTATTGCAGCAACTTTCTCTGTCCGTCCGAGGCCTTAACTACTCCTACAGTTTTCAAGATATTTAGTTTGTGCTTTTTGCATTCGGTAGCGTATCGCTCTGACACCTAAGTATGGCCTTTGAGGAAGTATTGATCAATTTATGGAAAATGCGCTGAAGTTACTCGCCTTAGGGCCAAAACCTTTTTACTTGTTTCCCTTTGGCTGACATTGCTCGACCATGAATTGCCAAAAGGGACACCAATTACAGAAGATGTGTGACGGTAGAAGAAAGATTATCAGCACTTTTGATTATTATGACACACGACTGCTGACAAATGATCGTGCAAGAGCGTCGCGTCGGTAGAAAATAGTCGGTTGCGATTTCGATCGGCCCCGACAAAAATGGAGCCTGTGGACAGGCTTCAATAGAAGCGCACGCGCGCGATCTTTATCGGACGATTCAAATCGCACCGATCTTGGTCGTTCCGATACGGTGGACATCCGGCCTAAGAACAAACGCGAACAAACCGATTCTTCAGACGATGACAACTTCCCGAAAATGCCCAAACACGGAAACACTAAGGACAGCCGACAAATTGAGTTAGGATGGTTCTGTGGCACTAATGGGAAACCTACCAAGCAAGTGAGGACACAGGGAGGGGGAGGTATTCGGAAAGTGATTATATCGAAATCAGCACGGAAATCAGATCTAACCGATGCAGCCGTGATAGGAACATGATAGCAGATTTCTCTGGCGAGATCTCGAACCCATTATTCGTGAACCACTGCTTTGATTGGGCAACAATGTTGTTTAATTGGCTTGTCAGCGCTTCTATATCCTCCTGAATAGTATAGACGCAAAGATCGTCGGCGTACTGTATTATTGTAGTCCCTCGATTGAAGTTATAATGTAGATCTGCTGTATATATTAAAAAGAAGAGGACTGAGAATTATGTCCATGAACTTGGCACGCCTACTACAACAGACCATGGTTTTGCCTACTCATATCGTTAGTGTTCCGTTAGTGCACGTTAGTGCCGCTGAAGAAATCGTTAGTGCACAAAAGGAAACTTACTATATTTAAAAAATATTTCTGGGCCTGCTAACTTCATGCCAGCAGACCCATTTGAGAAAATCGATTCAATCTGTACACTAGTTAAACTAGCAGCGTTAGTGCTCGTTAGTGCCGCCAATATAAACGTTAGTGCTCAAAGTGGAACAGCTCAAAACGTTGTAAAAAGGGGTCTGCTAACTTCATACAGCAGACCCACATTTGTCAAATTGGCTCTGTCCTATTGCGAATTGAAGCGGCTCGTTAGTGCTCGTTAGTGCTTCACATGCGAACGTTAGTGCTGCAAGGGATCTGCGTCAAACAGGTACCAAACCACCTCACAATTAAACTTGACTTATTGGGACCTGCCAACTTTACGCCAGTAGACCAACGAACGAAATCCGTTTGATTTTCTACTTTAATCGATCGGTAAGTATTAGTGCTCGTTAGTGACGCCAATATAAATATTACAAAATGCAAAATATGAAAATAGGAATAGAAACCAGAGCGAATAAACACATCACTAATTTAATCGTTATATAGTTTTTCACAAAGCAAACTCATATTTTTACATCTTGAGCTGTTGCGCTTTGAGCACTAACGCTTTTTTTTGCGACACTAACGATCACTAACACTGATTGATCGATTAAAGTAGAAAACTAAACGGATTTCGTTTGTTGGTATACCGGCGTGAAGTTGGCAGGTCCCAATAAGCCACGTTTAATTTTGAGGTGGTTTGGTACCTTTTTGGTGGGGATCCCTTGCAGCACTAACGTTCGCATGTGAAGCACTAATGAGCACTAACGAGCTGCTTCAAATTCGCATTAGGACAGGGCCAATTTGACAAATGTGGGTCTGCTGCATGAAGTTAGCAGACCCCTTTTTACCACGTTTTGAGCTGCTACACTTTGAGCACTAACGTTTATATTGGCGGCACTAACGAGCACTAACGCTGCTAGTTTAACTAGTGTAAAGATTGCATCGATTTTCTCAAATGGGTCCGCTGGCATGAAGTTAGCAGGCCCACAAATATTTTTTAAAAATAGTAAGTTTCCTTTTGTGCACTAACGATTTCTTCAGCGGCACTAACGTGCACTGACGGAACACTAACGATATGAGTAAGCAGAACCAGGGTCTGCTGTAGTAGGCCTGGCAAGTTCATGGACATCTGAGAATTGACCCTTGTGGAAGGCCTCTAGACACTATCCTTGGGCCGATTTTGTTGTTACCATGAGTCTTAATGTAAATATGTCGATCTTCAAAAAGTGAAATTATGTTCCGGGATATTTTTCCTGGCAAACCTAGCCTTATCATCTTATCCTCCAATATATCTAGTTCAACGCAATTGAATGCATCTTTGAGATCATAAAATATACATCCCATGTAGTTATTCTTTGAGAAATTTAGCTGCATATCCGTTACTAGTAATGATAATGCGTCAATAGTTCCAAAGCCTTTACGAAATCCATATTGGCTGTCTGGTAAGATTTTGTTCTCCATTATCCACCATTCTAATCGTGCTTTTACCATTCGTTCGAACGTTTTGTTTATACAAGATAACAGGGATATAGGTCTATATGTGGAGAGTTGGGTGGGATCTTTACGTGGTTTTAAAATAGGTACGACTGCAATCCATTTTAGCTCCGCTACATTTTCTCCATGCAGCCACATTTGATTGAACGCCTCCAGTAGAATTGATTTAAATTCCGATGGAAGATTGTGCAACAAACTATACGGTATTTCATCAATGCCAGGGGCTGTGTTATTATGACCATGCAGGGCAGACTCTAGTTCTCTTAGGGCAAATTGTTTAGACAGGTAATGGTCTATGTTAGTGTAGGTCCTGTGCCTCTAACGCGTCGTCCAGCAACTATCTTCCTCGTCCCGAAAACTGACATTTTTTGTACTAATGAAACAAATCGACATTAAAACAAAAAAAGTAAGAAGGAAGAAGTATTTTTATAATATTTAAATGACTAATTAGAGTGTAAATTGCTTGAATTTTGATTTTTGATATCCTTGAAACATAAATATATATTTTTTAATCAGTGACAGTTTTTTTCCTAAATGGCCGCCATATTGGTTCCACAGGGTGGGGGAAGGAAGTGCTGCGGGTCAAATAGATTTTTTGGACATACACATCGTTTATGGTAAGTGGCTTGCTTTCTGCATTGTTCGTCAGATTTTTTCGATTTTTAATATACTCAGTGACATGGAAATTGCAACACCAAGAAGGAGTTGGAATTTTTTGACCAAACTTGGCAGAAACGTTTCACTACTAAAAGGTAACAATTGATTAAAATTTCATTCATATGGATCAAGTGGTAATGGCTTATTTGACAGTTCTTTCATTTTTTTCTAGTATTCTTATATCGTGTACGTTTTGCGAGATTTTGTTCAGTTCTTATTGTTTTCGCTTTTAATCGTTTCTTTTGAGGCTGTGATCATGCCTAGATACGTCAAAGTGGAAATTACCGCGAATTAAGAGAAGTTGACAGGTGTCGTATTGTTGGTTTGGGCGGAGGTGGTTTTTCGTTCACAAAAATTGCAAGTCACCTTAACCGAAGTCAATCCACCATGATTCGTTGCAATCGGGCATGGATTTGGGAAGGGGCAGGATCGTCGTAGAGAGGAAAGGGAGGGGGCAGGAAAGGGTGGCGGGCGAAAAAGAACAATTGAAGTGCGGGATCGCCATCTTTGACTTATGGCAACAAGAAACCGATTCTCTAGTACCAGGTCAATTGCCGATCAATTGTTAGCTAACGAAGGTCGTCCTGTAACACTTCGAACGGTTTACCGCAGAATCAGAGCTTACGACTATCGGCCACATTTTTTGTTACCATTAACAGCTCAACACCGCCAGCAGCGTTTGGAGTGGTGTAGGTTGCGACTGCACTGGAACCTAGAGCGGCATAGGGTGGTGTTCAGTGACGAATCCCGATTTTGTTTGGGTATGCATGATGGCCGTATGAAGGGCAGCCGAAGACGTGGGGAACGTCGCAAAGTTGAATTTTCTGTTATGAGGCATGTGCACTAAGCTGTGGGGACTATGGTATGGAGTACTATAACTTATGGGAGTAGGGCTCCTTTGTTATTCATTCGAGGTAATATGACCCCCCCAGCGATATGTGGATGACGTGATAGAACCCGATATTCTTCCATCTCTTCAGCAGTTGGAAGACCCACTTTTTCAGCAGGATAATGCCCCTTCCCACATTGAAAGACGTTTTATGGACTTATTTGCACATGATAATGTCAATTTCTTGCCAAAGCCACCCAGATCTCCCAGTATATCGCCTATCGAGCAAGTTTGGGACATTATGAAGAGAAGACTGATGAACTTACCGCATCCTCCGCAGACGCTGCAAGCTCTACACAATGAATTAGAGGTTACTCACAGTTGCTTGGGACACAATACCTCAAGAGGAAATCGGCCGTCTGCTAAAATCGATGCTACGAAGCGAGAGGGAGTGCGTAACCAATAGGGAGGGACTACTATTATTATTAATAAAAATATGTTTATATTTCATCCTTTTTCTTTTAAATTTTAATCAATTGTTACCTTTTAGTAGCTAAACGTTTCTGCCAAGTTTGGTAAAAAAATTCCAACTCCTTCTTGGTGTTGCAATTTCCATGTCACTGAGTATATGTACCGCTTAGACTACAAACGTTATGCAAATTTACCAATTTGAGGAAGCGAAAATTAGAAAAAAAAAGGAGACAACGGCACGCGGTGTTCCCAAGCGGTCACCCATCCAAGTACTGACCGCGCCCGACGTTGCTTAACTTCGGTGATCGGACGAGAATCACAACTCAACTCAACAAGATTTATTTACAATTTTTACATACATACAGTTACATGCGCCTATTGCGCTTTTGTTTTACATTTCATTTCTTTACATTGGCTCCTAAATATTATTAATTTTCATCCAACATTTTATACATTTCGCAACATTTTGCTGTGATTGTCTATGCTTCTTGTTTTGGTATTTCACTTTACTTTCGTTGTTGTTTGCAGGAAAACTGTAGTTAAAAAACCTGCTCTAGACACCTTAAGGCGGTAGGTATGCTTTTAACGATGCTTTTAGTATTCGTTAAATATGTCTAGGTCTTGGTACGGAAGTCTGTGTTTCAGTTGTATCGTCCGGTGTTTTCAACGTGGTATGGCCGTTGTCAAGAAATATGGTGATCTAAGGGAAACAATTCCAGAAATTATTCGTCAGAAGAAGAACAAAGAGATGCACGCAAAGGATGCAAACGTGTCGCAAATTTATCAATTTTGAGCAATTTTTTAATCGAACGTTAATAAATATTATATGTAATAAATTAATACTTAACTTAATACAGTATTAGAAGATAAACACTTACTGTTACCATTGACGGTTCGACTGGCATAGTGTCAAATGGTGTGATCTCATTAGTTTCATGCATATCCTCGTAGTCGTCACTGTTATTAGTTTCATCATCGGCAGTGTTATGTGTAGATGTAGTTCCGAGGTGGACTGTTTTCGATAGTTTTACAAATGGTCTAATGTAGATCACTTTTTGGTGGAATCTTCTCTTCATAGCTTTGCCATCAAATACAATACCAGGTGGAAGATTGATTTTGATTAAATGTCTATTCATGGATACTAATATTTCAAACTCTATGTCATTCAGCATGTGCTGAAACAGCTCTTTGATAGCTACCATAATTTCTGAATTGCTCCAGTCTGTAGAATTTGGCACCGGAAAAAGCCAAGCCTGCAATTATAATCCTTCAATAAGTAAGTATACAAAAAAATATCAGAATAGTTAACTTGCTTCGTACGCTGCAGCTTTTTGTACACCATTAAGTGTCGAAACTGTTCTTGGTGATTTTAGAAGTATTATGTCTCTATAAAAATTTGGATCGATAGAGGAATATCTTTGCTTTCTTGAATTAGTGCTTGGCGACTGAACACAACTCTGGCGGGCTGGCGAATTGGCCCTGATTGTTGGAAATAAACGGTTGAGTTTCTCTCTTGCTGAAGAAGCAACCGATCGCACAATAGCCACACTAGATTATGGCGCTTCGGAGCTCACTGGTGAATTTTCGGCTGTTGAACTTCTTACATCCTCGACGACGTTCCGCAGCTGAGGACTCGACAAAGCTTGCGACACTGCTTTGATATTCCATTGCGGCGATTTCTCAAAATCAATTGTTTAATTTTTGAACTAAAAACAATAAAAACACAATTTGGGTATGTGTTATGGTAGGAAATGCACAATAAACATGTGAGCTTACCGATTGAGAAGGAGTAGCACTCGTGTTTGATACAACAACCATTATTAGATTAGGGATTAGCGACTATTTTTTAGGTTTGAGGCTCTCTGCACTTCAGCAGAGCTGCATGAAACACTAAAAATAGTACAGTGAAAACCATTCTTTTTAATTTGCATAGCCTGCTAGCCATTAAATCTGGCAAGCAATAATAATTTTCAAGTCAACATTCAAATTGAAGCTCTATTTACCTACGTGTGTTGTTACTTTGACCTTTTTACCTGTATTGATCTGAACAACACAATAGTGTAGGCGCATATGTAGCGATTTACTTTTCTGTTTAAAAAAACTCGTGATAATTTTTTGCACCAAGGTTTTTCTGTTTTCACAGGTGTTCAGGAATAAAAAAAATCTTGGTGCCATCCCAGCTTATGTTTCAAGTACCTAAAAGCGATCTACCGTATACATTTTCACTCGCTTAGGCCTGGAAAATCACAAAGAAAATAATTGCGCAATTCAATGTACGAAAGTATTGAAACTGATTGAGCATTATATGTCTAATGTCAAGACCTGTATTGTCTCAACCAGAGGAGCATTTTCAAACAACTCTGATGTCAGTCACCTGTCAAGCAATCACGAGGAAGTCCACACAATCTTACTTCTTCATGCGCTTGATGCTGCTAAGTCTAACGCCACAATTCACATCTTGTCGCCTGACACAGACGTGTTCATTCTAGCCATCAAAAGCCAGAAGGTTTCCTGAACTTGGAAAAGACACCTGCATTATCACCGGGAAAGGGGAAAATACAAAAGTCACACAATTGCAACCAATTTATCAAAGACTTGGAGCGGATGTGGTAAATGTGCTACCAGGCTTTCACTGTTTCGCTGGCTTGACACCGCAGGAAGATTTTCCGGGAAAGGAAAGCTGGCATGCTGGAAAGCATTATGCAAGCTACCAATGAGAGTGCTTCATGCTTTGAGCAGGCTAGGGAAGACACCACAACCAGACGAAGAACTATTAGTGTCTTGAAGAGTATGTTTGCCGTCTGTTCCTGCCGAACTCTAAACTACCCGATTTTGGCAAAGTTCGCTGACATATGTTCAAGCAATAGCAGGCGGAAGCGGAAAAACTCCCCCCTAGTAAAGCAGCGCTGAAACAACATGTGTTACGACCCCATTTCCAAGCAATGGTCTAGTGACATGACGGCAAGGTGTTAATTGATTTGCCTGACCCCACAAACTATGACTGGATTCTGAAGGGTAGCCAATTTTCACCTGTTATCACAGACATGAAGCCTGCACCCGAAGCTATTTTGGAACTTGTGAGATGTATGTGTGATACCAGCCGTTGCTGAGGTAACTGCTCATGTTATGCAGCTGGAATGGTTTGTACTCTGATGTGCAAATGTGAAGGATGTGAAGAAATGTGTGACAATACAGATTCACGTTTCTCTGATTCACAAGACGATGAGTATAGTGACGAAGATTAGATAAGGTTGTGAATAAGCATAACATTCTGTCGTTTTGTTTGATATTAGAAAGACCTAAGAGGTCAAATGAGATTTCAGCAACGCAACTATATACATCTGATGTTTACCATAATATTCAAAGGTACAAAATTCACTGGTTTCCATGTTTTTAATTTCAATTTTTATATAACTTTTGATTAAGGTCAATCTGTGATTGATGACAGAAGCTATTATAGACATTTGCAAATGTCAAAAATGCGGCCCGTAAAGTGACAGGTGCGGTCAATAAAGTGACAAGCGCCAGGAAACGTAGTCGCTCTGCCTTTATCATGGAAACTAAAATTTTCTGACAGAAAGTAGGTAAAAGCGAAGGTTTCAGGACGATTTTGGGTAAAAAATATTTACCCAAAATCGTCATGAAACCTTCATTTTGATGCCTACTTTATGTCAGGAAAGTGTTAGTTTCCATGACGGAGACAGACCAGTCTACTTTTCCTGCCGCCTGTCACTTTACCGGCCGCATCTGTCTAATTGTCTTAGCATTGCTATTTGCACAATTATTTAAGAAGAAACCAGTCTCAACTCTCAAGCATACATGTGCAGAAATTCTATGGATGTAAAAGATTTTGAGTCGGGAACTATTGTTGAAGGAAGTTGGAGAACAAATGGACAGTCAACGTCACTTTGTACAACTCAAGCCAGAAATTCACCGACAATTGCGAAATCCATCAGAGATCATTATTGCGATTTCTTCAATAATGAAGGGCAGATTGCATGGCAACATAATATAATATAATATGTACCTAACTGTGAGCTATACGCATATTGAATTTCATGCAATTCGGTTCATAACTCACGGAGATGTCAAAAGGGCTTTCCTTATTATTTGGGCTACATTGCCAATTCACGAACTCCGATCCGATCTACAAATTTTATAGACATAAAGAATCCACCTACAAAATTTCATCGTATTCGTTTATGAGTTAGGCCGGTCGTCCTTTGGATGCGTTTTCGTCCGAATTGCCTTCGTCAGAAATCGGACGAAGAAGTGCGAATCATGCCGTTTCATTGAAACCTATTGAAGCTCGTACACTGCGTCCGAACTGCTTCGTACGAATTCGGACGAAAACATGCGATGTGCGATCTATCCGAAACAAATGGGATTGTTCCCAGTTGTTATGACGAATTCATAGTCGATTTGTAACAGACCAAGATGGATGTTGAAAAATTAATTAATTTAATTTATGAAAAAAAGCCTCTGTGGGATATGACCGACAAATCATATCACATGAGAGACATACAAAGAAAATTGTGGCAAGAAGTGGCAGTTGAAATGAATACTAAGGGTAAGTTAAATCAAATTTGGGTCTCAGGTATGATATATTTGCAAACAAACAAAATATTTGTCTTTGTTGGCTCAGTGAAATCCGAAATGTATTTGAATGTTTTATTGATTTTAAATTATGCATTATACAATTCTTGAGATGAAAAATAAGTTTTAAATTTATGATATCGCTTTACGGACGTTTCGCCCCCACCGTTTCGCCCCCGACCGTTTCGCCCCCGCCGTTTCATCCCCAGCCGGTTCGCCCCTAAACCGTTTCGCCCCCGAACCGTTTCGCCCCCAGAGTTGTACCCCTACATTTAACCATTTGCCCGACACGTTAAAACTGTATACTTAAACGGGCAGAACGTGCCCACTGGACCCAGTGCATTTTCATTGCTTGTATTCATCTATTAATTGCGTACCTACTGAAATTATTGAATTGTTTATAAATAAGCACAATGATCAGCAAGAATTGTAATGGCTCATATTGAAAATTTGTAATTTTGGACACCGAATATGTTGCATAATTGACACCAAACTTTAATTGCTCTGTAATCAGAGTAATTATATATTCATGACTGCGAATTTGAAAATTTTAGAAAGTGTATACACTCTTTCTAATGACTGGCCTAATGACCGAAATTAATTATGTAAACATTCTTCTCATTGTTGTACGCAAAATTTGTGATTTTAGAGAGCAAATATGCTTATAATTAATACTAAACTTTAATTTCTTTGTAATTACGTCTTCCACAACCATTAAGTACCTGAAATATTGATAATCGACATTCGAAAATGCTATAAAAGCCAGTAATAAGTATTGTCCAATCATTTGTATTGTGTGTTTCGTGACGGCTCGTTTAGTCATCTCGTATTGATAGCAATGGCGGACCACGTTTTATCAAAGCGAAATAAGAACAAACTTGTCCATGAAAACCACATTTACGTTTTCTCCAAAAAAACAAAAAATGGAGAACATGGGATATGGGTGCGCGAACTCCGATCAAGCTGCAAGGGTCGAGTATGGACAAACGGAAAAGATGGTGAAGTGGTGAAAACAGTTACGCATCATAACCATGCAGCACAAGCTGCCAGGCCAGCAGCCATTCGATTGGTTACGACGGTAAAGGAGCGTGCCGCAACGACACAGGAGAGCCCACATCAAATTATAGCAAATGTCATCCCACAAGCTCACGCAGATGTTGCTGCAATCATGCCAAAAAAGGATGCATTGAAGAAAACGATCCGCAGAGCCAGACGAGATGAAGAAGCACCTGCGCTTCCAAGAAATATGCAAGAATTGGTGATTCCCCGAGGTTTTAGTGAAATCGTTATTGATGGTGAAGTGCAACAGTTTCTAATGTACGATTCGGAGAATCAACTGATGCCAGGAAGGATCCTCATCTTTTCAACCAGAAGCAACCTTCATCTTTTGGCCCAAAGTCAAGAATGGTTTGCAGATGGCACGTTCAGTACCGCACCAGCTATTTTTGAACAACTTTACACCCTCCACGCCATCAAAAACAGTGCCGTTGTTCCGCTAGTGTACGCTCTCTTACCGAATAAAACAAGAGCTACGTATGTTACATTTTTACAACAATTGAAACGTTTGCAACCTGGACTGCAACCAACTCAACTCATGACGGATTTCGAACTCGCTGCCATGCAAGCATTTGAATTGGAGTTTCCAGGTATTTTAAAGACTGGATGTTTTTTCCATTTATCGCAATCCGTTTGGAGAAAGGTGCAAAGTGAAGGCCCCAAAGCTCGCTACGAGAATGACCATGAGTTCGCTCGATGGATTAGAATGATTCCTGCTTTGGCGTTTGTTCCTGAACATAACGTAAGCGACTCATTCACCGAATTACTTGAAACCGAAGGATTTCCTGAAGAGGCTGTACCCATAGCGAATTATTTCGAAGACACATATATTGGTCGAAGACTACGTCGTGGGCGTCAAATTCCACTATTTCCAACTCAAATTTGGAATGTTTATCAGCGCACTCTTAACGACCAACATCGCACAAATAATCACGTGGAGGGATGGCACCGCGCTTTTCAAGAAACTTGTGGGTCCCAATTTCCAAATATTTTTCGTTTTATTGAATGTTTGCGGAAGCAGCAAGGTATTCATAATTACGAAATAATACAATCCATTGCAGGAAATCAAGGAAATCCAAGAAACAAGAAGTATGTTGCAATATCAGCTCGAATCAAAAGAATCGTTGAAGATTTTGAAGATCGCCATCTTACCGATTATTTGCATGGGATAGCGTACAACTTCGAATTTTGAAATTGTTCCGATTGTACAGCGAAATATGTTAAGATATCTTATTTTTATATTTATATGTAACCTGCTAAAACAATAAAAATAAAATTCTTGCTGATCATTGTGCTTATTTATAAACAATTCAATAATTTCAGTAGGTACGCAATTAATAGATGAATACAAGCAATGAAAATGCACAGGGTCCAGTGGGCACGTTCTGCCCGTTCAAGTATACAGTTTTAACGTGTCGGGCCAATGGTTAAATGTAGGGGTACAACTCTGGGGGCGAAATGGTTCGGGGGCGAAACGGTTTAGGGGCGAACCGGCTGGGGATGAAAGGGCGGGGGCGAAACGGTCGGGGGCGAAACGGCGGGGGCGAAACGTCCGTACCCGCTGATATCATAAGCTGAACTGGTGCCTCTGTTTTCACCCAAGGTTCCAAATCTTCCCGTTCTAGAATGTGTTTGATCAGGGATTTGCTCGAATGTACATGCTACTTGCTGCTCTCCTTCTCTATCAATTATAATGCTATGCAACAGGCATATACATTTAATAAGTTTATCGGCAGATTCGGGATTTACTTCAATTGATTTTTGTAATAATCTCCATTTGGCACTCATAATTCCGAATGCACATTCAACAACTTGTCTTGCTCGAGACAAACGCTCATTAAAAATTATTTCTGAAGGTCCTAATTTTAATACTGGAAAAGGTCTCATTAAATAAGTTTTGAGTGGATAAGCTTCATCTCCCAAAAGAACATGAGGTACTTTAATATTTGTTCCCGGCAGTGGACAATGTCTTGTAACACCTAATCCTCCGTTTTCAAGCTTTTGGCAAAGATTTGAATGCGAAAAAATACCACCGTCAATTTCTTTACCATACGCTCCCACATCAATTGCTATAAATTTGTAGTTTGGTCCAGCAACGGCTTGTAAAACAATTGAGAAGTATTGTTTATAGTTCCGATACATGCTTCCGGAGTGCTTTGGATTCTGTATGCGTATGTGTTTCCCGTCTATGCATCCAACGCAGTTTGGATATTTCCACTTATTCCAAAATTCTTCAGATATAGACTGCATGTCTTCATTTTTCGGAAATGGCATATGTACAGTACCCAACTTGTCCCAAATAGCATCACACGTTTCATAAACAATTCTACCCACCGTGACGTCTGATATTCGAAACGAATACCCCAATGTCTTGAACGAGGAGCCTGTTGCCAAATATCTAAAAAAAACGTTATTAATTGTAACGATTTTTTTTTAGTTGATGAAGTAAAATCAAAATGGAGGGGGCTGCGAGACACATTTCGAAAGGAATTCAACAAGTCGAAAAAACAGAAATCTGGAGATGGTGCAGAATCGGTAGTTACCTCCAAATGGCCATATTATAAAATACTGTTGTTTTTATCTAAAACTGTTGAACGACGTAAACTGCATGGAAATATATCTCCGCAAAAGGAAAACAATGACAACTCTTCTTCCGAGACAGAATCGACATTGGAAGCTGCAGACAATGCATACTCTGACACTCAATCCACCATTCAAGAGTCATCACAGCAAATTGTAAATACAGATATTCACCAGCCATCCACATCTGGTAACAAGGTAACAAGTACATTCAATACACCTAGTAGTTCAACTTTGCAAAGTAAGAAAAACACAAACAATCGTCTAAAATATGCTAAGAATTCCGAGACAAATTCAATGGACGAAAAGTTCCTCGAAATAGAAAGAGCCAAATTGGAAATATTGTCTCAACATAAAAATAGAGAAGGCGGTGATAGTGAACACCAATTCCTACTAAGTCTCCTGCCATTTTTAAAGGCTGTACCTCACAATCGACAAATGTTGGTGAGAAGTAAGTTGCAGCAAGTATTTCTTGAGGAAGAACAATTATCTACAAGACACACGCCCGGAGCAACATATCGTTCCAATGAAACAATTACAACACCGTTGCCTTCCCCAATGTTTTACACGGACACCGATTCCTCCAGAGCGTCATTCTATTGTAATGACTTAACACCACATCGTTCTTCATCTTTGAAAAATACAGTATCTTCCGGGGTCTCACAATATTCAAGTGAAATAAGAGAAGATGTTTCCTATCAACAGCCGTTGTCCATTCAGAACTATGTTTCTCACTTCAGCGCATAAAACAATGTATTTCTTTTCTTTGTATTTTTAAATAATATAATTCAAAATGTTGCAACTACTGTATTTATAACTTACCTTATAGTCACACTCAATCGTTCTTCTGGCGAAATGGTCTCACGGAAATTCGACATTTTTTTTATTGGTTCCCTTATGGCATCTAAAATATAGTTAAATGTATCCTGATTCATGCGATAGTAATCAAAAAACTTTTTCTCGTCCTTCTTCAAATCATCATATAAATGATGAAATTCTCCGAATTCTTTTCGTTTTACTAATATGTCATTAACCCAACACTTTTTTCTTTTTAATTTTAATCGCCGTCTAACAAGATAACTATTTTCCAAAAGAAAATGATCCATATTATTAATAATTATAGTATGCTTATTTGATAAATCATCACTACATACGACTGACTTCGTACAATGCGAAAACTTGTCTAGTGGACGATACACATTATGCGAAATCTGACGAAATTATTCGTCCGATTTCTGACGAAAATAATTCTGACGAAAACGCATCCATTTAAATTAAAATTCCCGCTAGATATGAAAATTTAAACTCAAGGTAACCAACAATAAGAATTTTGATAAAGGTAACTGGTAAGGGTCAAGGGGTTATCGAATGTGGAGGGATAGACGTGATTGAGCGTAAGAAAAATGGTTGTTAGAGGATGAATGATTGAATGAATCCCAGAATATTGTTGTACCTAATCCTGTAAGAAATTCAAAATTAATACCCATATACGCCTGCCGTACTCGGTTAAGTACAGTCAATTTTTGCTTATAACGACATCTCTCGTTAAGTAATCGCACTTGTTAAGCGCAAAACAAATCCATTAGATGCCAATTGAAAACTGTAAATCCTAGAAACTATACCAGGGTATGTTTTAATACAGTGATCTACTTGACAATTTGTGATTTGGTTTGGTGCGTGTAGTGCTGGTAAATACATTTTATTTTGCTTTTTGAATAAATTCTATCAAATACTTACCAACTATGTATATTATGCAGCATAAGCATACCTGCGGTAATAACCTGCTCACCTGAGCGACTTCAAACAAGTGTACTCGCACGAGTACAATGGGCTGTAGTGTAATAGTATTTGTATGGTACATTGTTGCAGTCATGGATGCAATATGCACAACAAGTTTCTTCGGACGGAAGAAGTTTGATGCCCTGCCGCAAGCACTTGATGATGTGGATGATTTTGATGGCGCAGTAGATATTGTAGTACTACCCCCAGCTCCCGATGTACTAACAGACGAGGAGGATTTTGACGATAACGATTTGACTAATACTGCTATTCCTAAAGATGTTCCTGGTTCCGTGGAACTTCATTTTATTGCCGAAGAAGGGGATGCCAATATAGAAGCGGAAAGTGATTGGAGTGATAGCGACGATGAACCGCTTGCTGCAAAGCGTCCTAGGAAAGCAGCAAAAATTGTCACAAAAAACTGGAAAAAATGTGAACCAGTGTACACAAACCTGGTCGGCTCGTTAGCCGGCGGAGCCAAACAAAGAGAAAATAACGTAACGCAAGCACTTGAAGGACTAAATCCTTTAGAAATTTTTGAAAAGTTGGTAGACGATAAAGTGATTGCACACATAGTTTATCAAAGTAATTTGTATGCACAGCAAAGTAACCGACATACATTTTCTGTAAATAGTGAAGATATGAGAACTTTCATCGGTATTCTTCTTTTTTCGGGATACCATAAATTGCCCAGAGAACGGTTGTACTGGTCATCAGATGAAGACATGGGCGTACCATTTGTATCAGAATGTATGGCTCGTAATACTTACCTGCAAATAAAACGAAACATCCACCTCGCTGATAATTCAAAACTGGACAAGCAAGATAAACTCTTCAAAATCCGTCCATTTATGAATTTGATAAATTCAAAATTCCAACAGTGGGGAATATTCCATGCGACTCTCTCAATTGATGAGGCAATGGTGAGATATTTTGGAAGGCATTCACTCAAACAGTTTATAAAAGGAAAGCCTGTCCGGTTCGGGTTCAAGGAGTGGATGTTGTGTAGTGCAACTGGTTTTTGCTATGCGCTAGATGTTTATTGTGGAAAGAATTATGAAGGTCAAGGTGCATCTGGACTGGGGTTAGGTAGCAATGTAGTCCTTTCAATGTTAGATGTGATAAACCATCCAGAAGACCACTGCATATACTTTGATAATTTCTTTACGTCCATGCAACTTCTGGCGATTCTCAAAGACAAGGAATTTAGATGTTCAGGCACAATAAGAGATAATCGTCTTTTGCAGTGCCCCTTAGAAAGGTCCAAAAGCTTGCAAAAAAAGGAAAGAGGTTTTTACGACTATCGTTTTGAAACTAAACATGAAATACTGATTGTAAAATGGAAAGACAACAAACATGGGGAGTAATTTTGATACTGTTTTACCACTGAATAAAGTTAAGAGGTGGTCAAGAACAAAAAAAGAAATGGTCACCGTAAACCAACCAAACGTGTATAAATCATATAACGCAGGAATGGGCGGTGTAGACCTGACTGACCAGTCCGTCAATACTTACCGTATCGGCATGAATGGTAAAAAGTGGTGGTGGGTGATATTCACTCAAATACTGGATGTTTGTGTCACCAACACATGGAAACTTTACAATTTGGCGAATGAAGAGAATAAAATGGATCAGTTGGAGGTGACAAGATATATTGCAAGACATTATATTCGATCAGCAGTTTCGAGAAGAGCTGGTGGTAGATCAAACGCTCCAAGACCTAGTGTTACGACACCAGCTAGCATCATCCATGACAACATCCGACACTTTCCAAAGAAATTAGAGAAGCAACTTAGATGCAGTGTTTGTCATGCCAGAATAAGATGGTGCTGTAAAAAGTGTCAAGTGACAATATGTATTGAAAGGGAATGTTTTGAAATATATCATACTAAGTAATACATTTTTTTTAAATTACACTTAGTAGTGCCCAGTGTACTCAATCGAGTACATATGTTTTTTTTGTTAGTAATAATTACAAGTTTGTTTTGGTGGTCATTATATATTCGTATTAATGCAGTTATCTAAAAAAATTAGTTGTGTGAATTTTTTTTACCACGGTTTGCATTTGGGCATATATGGGTTAAATTGATTGATACATTTACTACATACATAAACTAAATTTTAGATCCATGCCATACATATGTGATATTTCAAATGTCTAAGTTCCAGTAAAATACATATCTGGGGCTTGGTTCTAAAAGGGCCAATATCAATAATGATGTATTCAAGAAAACTTGTTTTAAAGTTTTGTGCATAATTACTGCTCTTATGTAGGCGCTCTACTATTAGTAGTTAGTTGTTTTGTTGACTTAAAATGATTGCGCTTTTACTCTTTTGCCCTTAAGATAACATCATATTATGAAAACTAATTTTTTTGGAAAAAAAACTGACATTGGCCTTTTATGAATAAACAAAAAATGGAGGAAAAAAGACTTTGGCCTCTTTTCAAATTCTATATTTCTAAAAGTAACTTACTATACAACAAACATTTCATGTAACAAAATAAATTTCAGTACTAGTCGGCAAAATGATACTCTTCATCTTCGCTTCCACTGAATGTATCGGAGGCTGTTGGGGATATTGTTATAGTGTTAAGAAACTGAAGATAGTATGGTCTACTGCACTCATCAATATAGGGTAACTGGTCTCTCAAATGCTGCATTTTATTACTAGGAATACCCAAAGGTTTCGTGTTAATTGGCAATAGGGCGACACTTTCAGAATTTCTAGTTCTTTTCCTGAGCAATGTCACTGTTTTGAAAGGGTCATCGTCACTAAAAGAAGTTTTGTATTGTAGCAAACCAAGGAACTCGCTTGAGTATTGGATAACTCTTATTTTAGACCACACAATCTTTTCACCTAACGTGTTTGTTTTGGAATGCTGAAATTTTCCTGATAACAGTGACTTGAAGTTAAGGAATTCTTGTTGCTGCATTTCATGAACAAAAATAGGAGGTCTTCTAGAAATTGAACGGATCAAATTGGCCCAATCTCTGGGAATGTCTACTTTCACTGTGGTCAACTTTTTCGTTTTCTCAATCGCTGCATGGATAGTGTCCGCTTCCATGTGCGTATGCCCAGGCACCAAAAATTTATGATAGATGTTAATCTCTCTCCCTTCTCTTTTCATTTTTTCTACAATGGTAAGTAGCATCACTGAAACTAAAATGTTTCTATTTTGACCAGGACAACAGTCACTGTATAAAACTGCTTCAGTGATATTGGGAGGAATCTGATTCAGGTAGGTGTATAAACATGAAGCAATCTCTTGTCCACCTCTTTGAGCTATCGTCTCATTCCAGATATAGCATTTGGCAGAGTTAGTAACCCCCTGAGTTTCAAAAATGGTAAGATTAAGAGTCCATAATTTTCTCTTATAGAATGATATGCTGCTTTTTAAATAGGGGGTTGGTAAGCACTTCTGCAAATCGAAACTTATTACCAAAAGATGTGGATTTGTTTTACATGCAGCTTTGTCTTTCTTCTTTTTGTAAGCGAAATCAGCTAGAGCCAAGTGATCGTTTTTTTCCATTTCAATTTTTAGTTTTTCATTTTCTTCCTTGGCTGACTTTAAAAGAAGATCATACCTATCGCATGTAGCACAGGTGTCATTATAAGGGGTCTTAAAGGATATATTAAATTCTTCAACAAAAATTTTTCTATACATAGCTTCCTTTTTCGGTGTTACATTAATTTCTTGGCAGTATTCAAGATAAAGTTTATACATCTTTGAAACTGAAAGATCAGAAGATAGTAGATACTTTTTTGTAGTCTGCTCTCTTGAATAATGACTTTCACACACAGGAAACATTCGAATATGATGTCTTATTATGTCTTTGTCTTCTTCTTTTGTTTTAGGATGATTTCCATGTTTTCCTCTAGCATCGTCTGGACAAATCTGTGACTTAGAATTGCGCTTTTTCTCTACGATTATCCGTACTTTCTTTAATGATAGGTCAAGTGTTGATCTAAAAAAAGTTTGACAGACTTCAATTCTTTCTGTGTGCTTCTCGAAATAGTAAATTCTGGTGTAATGTCTCCTACTTTCTTCATTACTGCTTCTTAGCCTTTGTACTTTCTTCTTTATTTCTTGAATGTGATTGGCTATAAACTGATTTTGTGCCTCGTGTGATAGATTGTAAAATGCCCTGAAAATTGCTTGCCTTTCCTCGTGTGAAAATTTTTCAAAGCATTTCTTCCTACATTTGCAACTATCTTTCAACGACTTTTCGGGTACTGTTTTACCTTTTATTGTTGTGTAAGCTTTTCCTTTCATTT